CGTTGACTAAGTTGACTTGTAAAGGTATAGCTTTTGTATGGGATGTTCAGTGCGAAGAAAGTTTTATAGAATTGAAGAAGAGATTGATGTCGACTCCGATTTTGATGTTGCCTAATCCAGGAGAACCTTTTGTGGTATACTGTGATGCTTCTAAGATGGGTTTAGGAGGTTTGCTTATGAAGAGTGATAAGTAGTTGCTTATGCGTCAAGGCAGTTGAGGACTCATGAGAAGAACTATCCTATGCATGATTTAGAGCTGGCTGCAGTTGTCTTTGTGTTGAAGATTTGGAGGAATCATCTTTATGGTTCTAGATTTGAAGTGTTTAATGACCATAAGAGCTTAAAGTATTTATTCAATCAGAAGGAGTTGAATGTGAGGCAACGAAGATGGTTGGAATTTTTAAAGGATTATGATTTCAGTTTAAATTATCATCCAGGAAAAGCGAATGTGGTAGTTGATGCGTTGAATCGAAAGACTTTACATATGTCGGCAATGATAGTTAAAGAGTTGGGATTAATTGAACAGTTCAGAGATATGAACTTAGTTTGCAAGGTGACGCCGCATAGTGTTATATTGGGTATGTTGAAGATTAATAATGAATTTCTAGACAGTATCAGAGAAGCTTATAAGTTGGATGTGAAACTGGTAGATTCGATGGTTGGGATCGATCAGTCCGAGAATATCGATTTTAAGTTAGATGTGCAAGGTGTGTTGAGATTTCATAACCATATTTGTATTCCTGATGATGCTGAGATGAAGAAAGTGATACTTGAAGAGAGTCATAGAAGTAAGTTGAGTATTCATCCAGGAGCTACAAAGATGTATCAAGATTTGAAAGGTTTGTGTTGGTGGCCTGGAATGAAGAGTGATGTGGCTCGGTTTTTGTATGCGTGTTTGACTTGTCAGAAGTCGATAGTTGAACATCAGAAGCCTGCAGGGTTGATACAACCGTTATAAGTTCTAGATTGGAAATGGGATAGCATTTCGATGGACTTTGTGACGGGGTTACCTAATACTTTAAGAGGACATGATTCGATTTGGGTGATTGTTGATAGGCTTACGAAGTCGGATCATTTTATTCCTATTAACATCAGTTTTCCAGTGTCGAGGTTGGCTGAGATTTACACTAGTGTAATCGTGAAGCTACATGGTGTTCCTTTGTGCATTGTGTCAGATAGAGATCCAAGATTTACTTCTGATTTTTGGAAGAGTTTGCAAGAAGCGTTGGGTTCTAAGTTGAGGTTGAGTTCGGAGTATCATCCTCAGACAGATGGTTAGACTGAACAGACTATTCAATCGTTAGAAGATTTGCTGAGGGCATGTGTTCTTGAGCAGGGGGGTTAGTGAGATACTTATCTTCCGTTGATAGAGTTCACTTATAATAACAATTACCATTCTAGTATTGGGATGACACTTTTTGAAGCGTTGTATGGTCAAAGATGTAGAACTCCTTTATGTTGGCATGAATCTGGTGAAAGTGTAGTACTTGGACATGAACTTGTTCGTGAGACTACTGAGAATGTGAAGTTGATTCGAGAAAAGATGAAAGCTTCCCAAAGTAGACAGAAGAGTTATCATGACAAGCGAAGGAAAGACTTATAATTTCAAGCAGGTGACCATGTGTTTTTGAGAGTTACACCTGTGACTGGTGTTGGGCGAGCATTGAAGTCTAAGAAGCTCACTTCTCGTTTTATTGGACCGTATCATATTTTGGAGAGAGTTGGGAATGTTGCTTATAGAGTGGATTTACCGCCTAATCTTTCGAATTTGCATGATGTGTTTCACGTGTCACAACTCCTGAAGTATATTTCAGATCCATCTCATGTGATTCATATGGATGATGTGCAAGTACGGGATAACCTTACGGTGGAGACGATGCCTGCACGGATCACAAATCATGAAATAAAGACTCTGAGGGGCAAAGAGATTTCTTTGGTTAAAGTGGTTTGGCTAGGAGCTGCCGAAGAAAGCATGACTTGGGAGTTGGAGAGCAAGATGCAGGACTCCTATCCTGAGTTGTTTGATTAAGGTAAATTTTCGAGGACGAAAATATTCTAAGTGGGGGAGAGTTGTAACGCCCGTAATTTAATTAATTATTTAATTAAATTATTCTTGGATTATTTGTGAAGTTGTGTTATGATAATAATTGATGTGTTGTTGTTATTGGATTTAATTATTCTATTAAGTTATGGAATAATATTAGAATAATAGTATTATTTGATGTGGGCTTGTTTTAAAGAATAGAAGTAGTAGAAAAGGGGGTGTAGGAGTCTTAAGGCCATTAAGGCATAATAAGAATTATAGGGTTATTATATTAGTTTTTAGAAATAATAAGGAAAAATAAGAAACAGTAAGAAGAGAAGGAAATAAGGGTTGGAAGAAGCGAAAGAGAACGTGAAAGTTGCAGAAAAGAAGGAAAAGAGGCAGAACGAAATTCAATCAGAAAAGTTATAGAGCAACCTTCAATCCAAGGTAAGGGTGAGGTTCTGACTCTATAATAGGGTTTATGATGAGTAGTATGTGGGATTAGATGTGAAAATGTTGTCTTGTTCATGATTTAAATGTATATGTTGTTGTATGATTAAGATCAATGATTTAGAGATGAATAATGATGCCCTAACATTGTATAATTGATGTAGAAACATAGGGTTATTATAATTGATGATTACCTATGGTTAGAGGATGTTTTTAGGGCCTAAGGCAGGGAAACCGTGGTGAAAACACAGTGAAATCGCATAAAATATTCATGACAGAACAGTATGCGTCGACCGCAAAAGCCATGCATCGATACATGCAGGTTTCTGGACTCAGGATGAGTTGATACGAAGAAGCATGCATCGATACATTTAGACTTTTAGACTCAGGATGAGTCGATACGTAGGACTATGTATCGATACATGTAGTGTTGTAGACTCAGTACGAGTTAACCCAAGATGATTACGCATCGACTCATGCAGCGTGTTAAGCCTAGTACGCGTCGACTCAAGACATTACGCATCGACTCATGTAGTGTGTTTTTTGACAGATTCTTCCAAAGGCTGTAACTTGAGTTCCCGTACTCCGTTTGAGGCATCGTTCGAAGCATTGGATAACTAAAGCGATGGACTTCATTCTTAAGGATTAAAATGAAGGATAAGGAGAGTGAATCCTAGTACCTAATTTTGGATTAGAGTTATCTTCCCGCGTTAATCGTTATGATGTGTTTGCGAAGTATGATGAGGATAAGATGATTATAGATTGTTGTTCGGTTCATGACAGTAAGGTTAATGATGATAATGATGTATTATTACAGAATTAATAATATGTAGAGGTTTGTTAACTAGAGGTAAGCCTTATATGTTTTATTAATTATAGGCAATTCTTGTTGTAGGCCTATGGCCAATGTTGGAGGATTGTCGACCTATCGTTGTATTGTTGTTGTGGATGAGTTGCAATAAAATTATGTTGATGAATTATGCGATGAAATTATGTTGATGAATTATGCGATGAATGATGTTGATGAAAGATGTTGAGATGCCTCTAATAATTGGCAGCTATTAAGATGTAGGCTTCTGGTCAACGATGATGTTGTGATTGAGATGTTGTTAATTATGGTTGTTGTTATTACATTCATGATTGTGTCGCATACATTTCATTTCAAGATGGAGATGATGCTCGTTAAGATGGCCTGTATTGGCGAATATTAAGATGAAGGCTTATGCCTTACTGATGTTTCTATTTATTTGCAATTATTTGAGATGGGAGTTCTGCTCCAATGGTACCACATGCATTTGCATAGTATTGATTCGCATTATATGATTGCATGAAGAAGTTGTGTATTGATGTGGTAAATGTGTATATTGTTGGTACTCTGTTGCGATTATTGTTGTTTATGCGATGAGAAATGGCGATGTTATATGATCTAATTCAATATATTATTTATCATACATTTTATTATATTTTTAGATATCTCACCCCTTCTGTTTGAATGTTACCCTTATGTTGGTAACGTGGAGGTAATCCAGAGTGAAGGAAGTATACCTTTGGTAGTTCGAGTCGGTTTCATTGCTCTGATACGTAACACTCGGGGGGGATGAACGCTTGTTGCTTTTAGTTGTTGATTATTTAAGTTGTTGAACTTTAATTTTGTTTGTTGTTAATTATGCATTATGTTGAAGTTGTTGTAATTGTTGGACAAATATGTTATTATGATTCCGCTGCGTAGATGTTCAAGTTGTTAAATTAAGAGATTAAATTATCATGCTGGTAGTGTATCTAAAGTTTTAAAGTGTTATGTATCCACGTAGAATGCAATGTGTTTTTAATGTTGAATTTGTGGCATCTTGATTCGTTTGCATGAATTTGATGACTCTGATTTACATTTATAATTGTCGGGTAGAATTGGGGTGTTACATGACCCAACCCGAATAATAAAATTGGATACAGACCGAATGAATTTTCTTGGTTGGTATAAGTTTGTCCAACCCTAATGGCTATCAATGTAGTAACACTATGATGTATTATTCATCCATTTTCTCAAGGCCACACCAACACCTTTAATACCCTTTCATGTTCATTTGACACAATCGAGAGAATGAAAATTCTATGTGAAAAAGTTACATTCTGACATATCATAAATGTCCTAAAAACTCTAGAATGTCACATAGGATTATATCATATATGCAACTTATTATGTAAATTCATATATATGAATATTGCAAATAAGTCTCTAACGTATTTGCAACTAAGTCTTATATTAATTCAATATATTGGTTTTTAACTTCAAAAATTAATTTTTGAAAATCAAAGTTAATAAAACAAATGTAAATATTATCATGACTTCATCGATAACTTCATCTTCTTTCCCCAACCAATAATAACTTCATCTTTTTCCCCGCAACCTGTAGAGCTACCCACATTCATCTTCTTCCATCGATTTTGTAAAACGACCACTAATGAATGCACATTTCATCTTCTTCTTTCGCAATTGTAAAACGAGATTTCTTCCCAACACTATTCAATGAGAGAACACTCAATATTCGCCCATACCGTCGCTCCTCACATAGTTCGTTTTGCTAGCAGATTTGCTAAGGTATTTGGGTTTAATATTTAATGATTTCAATTTCTTATAAGATTTTAATTTGGGAATCAGGTTTTATGATTGATGTTGTAATCTGTAATTGGATTTCAAATTTAAGGATTCATATTTTCAATATGTTAGTTGTTCATTATGTTGGATAAATTTTATTTCAATTTGGAAATTAGGTTTTATGATTGATGTCATTGTCTTTCTTTGGATTTCATATTTAAGGATTTCAATTTTCAATTTGTTAGTTACTCAATATGTTAGTTAAGATTTCTTTTCAATTTGATAATTAGGTTTTATGAATGATGTTGTAATCTGTAATTGGATTTCAAATTTAAGGATTCTGATTTTTGATATGTTAGCTATTCATTACATTGGATAAATTTTATTTAAATTTTGGAATTAGGTTTTTGATTTATGTCATTGTATTTATTTGGATTTCAAATTTAAAGATTTCAATTTTCAATTTAAGATTTCATTTCAATTTGGAAATTAGGTTTTATGATTGATGTAGCCCTCCCAACTTTAATAAGAGTAGCCCTCCCAACTTTAATAAGGGATCTCCCTGTCTGGTTCATCGAGTGGGAATGATATTGTTGGTAGGATACCCATTAATAAGAATGGAAAAAGAAATTGTAATAAAATCCATAATTGTGTTAACAGTTTTGGTAGGAAACCCCAACATCATAAGAGGCTCCCTTATAAAATTCCACTCTAGCTTGTCATAAATTTTTTTCCATATCCAATTTGATACGCACAAAGCCTTTCTTCCCTTTTGTAGGATATTTAATATGGTTAGACACTTCAAAGGCAATCATAGTGTTGTCAGTTATAAGCCTTTGTTGAACAAAGGCATTCTGGTTCTCACTAATCAAATTAAGAAGCATGAGTTTAATTTTGTGGGCTAATACCTTAGTGACAATTTTAATGATAACTTGCAAAGAGATATAGGTCTATAATCCGGGGGTTAAGAAGTTTGTTTGATTTTAGGAATAAGGCTAATGAAAGTATGATTGAGTCTTTCAGGACTCTCCTCATTGTTGAGGATTTTGATCACAATGTTAGTGATGTCTCCTCCCAACATTTTCCAATAAGCCTGATAAAAATCAACAGGAATCTTGTCTGGACCTAGAGCAACATAGCTCTTGAGGTTCTTAACAACAAAATACACTTCCTTCTTAGTGAAAGGAGCTTCAAGTTGTGAATTGGTTTTTTGATTGATGTCACTGTCTTTATTTGGATTTCAAATTTAAGGATTTCGATTTTTAATTTGTTAGTTACTCAATATGTTGGTTAAGATTTTATTTCAATTTGGGTGTTAGGTTTTATGATTAATATTGACTTATATTGTGTTATATATTGTTCGATTTCAGATGGATAACTACGTCAATTTTGTTGGGGTTTATTTAAACGATGTTCATTACATTGATTCATCTGATGTTGAATATAGTTATGATGAAGATGTAAATGATGTTGTATCTAGTGGCCATCAAAGTTCAAATGACGAAGATGGTTGTGATAATGACGATGATGAGGAATCAAATGGAGCGGAGTGGTCAAATAGCCAAGCAATTGTAGGTGATAGATTGGTGAGTATTAATTGTATTACTTTAGATGAAATTTGTGCTATAGAATTCAGAACTATGAGTGAAGCTTATGACTTTTATTATAGGAATGGAAATGTAAAGGTTTTTCTATTAGGAAAACGGTGTTAGGCGAAGAGGGACTGAATATAATGAAATAGTAATAATGAGACAAGAAGTACTTAACTAGGGTATATAGGAAAAGAGATCACCGACGATCGACCTGTACTAGATGCACAACGAGGCTTCACAGTTGACCCGTACCAGTTATTTTATTTCATAGTTATTATTAACATGTTATCATCAAGTTGTGCACAATTGTCCTAGACATTATGTCAATCATTTGTCTCCAGAAGAACATAATTGCAGTCGTACCGACTTGATTGGGAACGATAGGGTAGGACGGGATGAAAAGATCAAAATACCTAAAATGAAATTAACTCTATGGGAATCAGTGTGACCTAAATGGTTCATCGGTCAAACCATATAGCCGACTAATATACTTGAACCAGTGAGTTGCACTTTTATCCCAACACATTTTGCGGAAAAAGAAAATAAAATATGAAATTGGAACAATATTTTCTCTCTTGCATCTCAATTCAAAATATGACATTTTCAAAATCTTAAAAATTTGTTTGTGAGTTTAGAGGGGAGGGAAATAGAAGGCTTTTAAAAAAAATGTGTTTTTAAAAGAATATTGGAAAATATTTGATATTTTTTACAACATGATATTGGAAAAGCACTTCTGGAAAGCTGAAAGTTTTAAAGTATCGAAGAGGGCATCAATTACCCATTATGGAGAAATCGATTTCAATGTGTATTTTAGTTTCTAGAATTTGTATTTTGCTTCAGGAAATCGATTTTATGCTTGTGTTTTGGTTTTTTTCAGCTATTTATGGGCATGTTTGGTTTCAAAGTGTAAAGTTAATATCCTATAAATACTCCTTCACGTAATACTAGTTCTTTCACCTCGTGCGATGCACGAGACAAATTATGGATAAAGATTGTATGTGAGAAAAAAATAGGAATTTTGTTGATTGAATAGTTGAAGTACATAGAAATTAGTTGTAAAATAATGAGTTGGAATAATTAACATTAAATATTAACTAATATTTTAAATTTAATAATATTCTCCCTCTCTCTCTGGGAAGCCCGAACACCTACCGAACATCCCTGAAGGATGGAACAACATGATGAAGAAGACGGCGAAAGTGTAGAGAAAAATATGAGAAGAGAACAAGGAGATCTCTGAAAAGGGAAGGCAGGGAAGTAGTAGAAATATTGAAGAGGAAACAATCCGTTCTTGAACTTAAGACTATGCGTGTCGCGTGCTCGATCTAGCAATTGTCTTAATTAATTACTTTTTATCATTAATCCACCAATTTATTTTGTGCACGTTTCAACATTACTAACGAATATTAATGGTGTTTATATGCATCAAAAGAATATAAATGCATGATAAACTAATTCGAAAAAATAAAATGAAAAAAAAAATATTTAATAAAATCATCAATTATTTCATTTTCATACATACACTAAAATAGGAATATTATTTTGAAAAAGACGTAGCACCTGTTTTGAATCACGGTGGAATGAAAAGAAAAAACATTTTTACTAGAAGCTTTGATTTCCAGCTTCTTAAAAATCATGGTGAAACTGTATTGGAAAGTGTAACCATGGTGGAAATAAGTGTATCCAAACATACACATAGTTAATCTTAAATTTCATTTCAGCAAAGCATTGATGTCACTTACATATTGATTCTTTCATTGTTGTTTCAATATATCGGAATTGGATCCTTTACTTTTTAATTTTTATAACTTTCTTTCTATTTTCCACCTATCATTTCTTTCTCCCTAGATACTAAGACAAAACATTTAAATCTCACTTCACTTTCGGTCCACAAAGTGGTCACCACTCACATGATAATTACTTCTTAGAAATATCTTAATAATTCTACATTATTCCTATTCCTATTTAAATAAAAGTCACTTGAATAACAAAGCTGAAAGCTCAATCCAAAACACAGTACCTCACAGACTCAGTTCCAAGATGAGGAAAGCACAAGTTGTTTTTATCCCTTCTTCTGGTTTGAGTCATTTAGTTTCCACTCTTGAGTTCGCCAAGCTTCTAATCAACCGTGATAACCGTTTCCGAATAACCGTTTTAGTTATGAAATTACCAAACACCTCTGAACCTGATGTCTACATTGATTCCCTTCCCATTTCCGATTCACTCCAAATCGTCAACCTTCCAGAATGTTCTCTTCCTCCAAACACGGATCTAGCTTCCGCCTTGTTCGTTCTCCCCGAAGCTCAAAAATCAAACGTAAAACAAGCCGTCGCTAACCTCACTGCCGAAGAACAACAACATGGACCCCTCGCTGCCTTCGTCGTTGACATGTTCTGCACCACCATGATTGATGTTGCTAAAGAATTTTCCATCCCTGCGCTCGTCTTCTTCACTTCCAGCGTTGCTTCTCTTGGTTTGACGCTTCATCTACACACACTGTTTGAAGGAGACAACTTAGATTCGACCATGTTACTGCAGAAGAACGAGTTAGCAGTTCCGAGTTTTGCCAACGCGGTTCCTATAAACTCGATTCCTAGTTTTATGCTAGACAAGGAATGGGAGTCGTTTTTTAAGAGCCTTGCAAGTGGCCTCAAGAAACCAAATGGAATTATAGTAAATTCATTTGAAGAGCTAGAATCACATGCGGTTCAATCCTTTTTCTCTCATCCTGATCTAGCATCTTTACCTATTTATCCAGTGGGGCCCTTATTAAACCCTGAACCCAAAACAAAGAGCACTGCTGATTCAGATGATATCATCAAATGGCTTGATGATCAACCTCCTTCTTCCGTAGTTTTCCTTTGCTTTGGGACCAGGGGTTATTTTGATGAGGATCAGGTTAAGGAGATCGCACTTGCTATTGAGAATAGTCGTGCTCGTTTCTTGTGGTCTCTACGTAAACCCTCACTAAAAGGCTTTATGCTCGCGGCATCTGATTATTCACTTTTAGATTTGATTTCGCTTTTACCCGAAGGATTTTTAGATCGGACTGCTGAAACTGGAAAAGTCATTGGTTGGGCTCCACAGACTCGAATACTAGCTCACCCTGCCACAGGAGGATTTGTTTCCCATTGTGGGTGGAATTCCACACTTGAAAGCATATATTTTGGTGTGCCTATTGCGGCGTGGCCTCTTTATGCGGAACAACAGGCAAATGCTTTTGAATTGGTGTGTGAGCTGAAATTGAGTGTTGAGATTGCGTTGGACTATCGGGAGCAATTCAATAGTGAGCGTAACTATGTTGCAACTGCAGAAAAGATTGAGAGAGGAATAAGGAGAGTGTTGTTTAAGGATGGAGAGTTAAGGAAGAAAGTAAAAGAGATGAGTGAAAAGAGTAGAAAGACTTTGTTAGAGGGTGGATCTTCCTACACTTATTTAGGTAATTTAATTGACTATATTAAGAATCATGTATGAAATTAAATTATTTTATAAGTTTAATTTGTAACATTAATATTGCTTAGTATTTGGTTCGGGAATCTATATGTCTTGTTTTACATTATTCTCATCTTGTGCCACATCTTTTTAGTTGGATTGGACACATTTATAATTAAGAAGAAAAGATCGTTCCTGTTTTTTTCTTTAGCTTCTATCTTGCTCCAAGAAAAAAATAATGATGTAAAAGATAGGTGGGCATCGAATATAATCTAAAGTTAGAATTGCTGTTGAACAAAGAGCAGTGAAGGATAAACTGCAATGAATCCAAATCCATAATTAGGCTAAGTTGGTCTTAAATTATTATTTTTTTGGATAATTGAGAAAACAAAAATTAACAAAGTCGACTGCTTCTTCTTCGTTATTGTTCGATTCTCATTCTTAACCAAATTGAGTTTACGTACAAGAATAAAAATAAGTAAAGTGTGAACAAGCTTCATTCATTGATTAGAAGTTAATACAAGTCAAAATATTTGTTCTATTAACTATACATTTAAATTTATATTAGCCCTTAATTTTTTTTCCATGTCAAATTGGTCCCTTAGCTTTCAAATATTTCATTTTAATTTTTTTTAGATCTAATTAGCGACTGATTTCTAAATTTTTCTGCCACTTATTAGATAAAAAGGATTAAAATGAAACGTTTTAATAGTTAAATGACCAAATTGACACGGAAAAAAATTAAGAAACCAATTTGAATCCAAAGGTATATTCAAGAGACCAAAATAAGTATTTTGCTTAAATACAAAATAGAAGAATAAGTGTTAGATATATTGTGTAGTATGTCAAATTTAGGGAGTCTAGTGTAAATTCAGTTACATGTTGAATGTATAAGTTTGTTAACAACTTATGTATTTTGTAATTCTTGCTCTCATTTTTCAATAATCAGTAATCTTTTTTCTCTCTCTCTCACAACTATCTTCTGCATTGTTCATGGTGTCATGATAACACCAACATATGATATCACGAGACCGATTTAGTTCAGGAATCAATAGCAGTTGATGTTATGATTGGAATAAGCGGCAATCATTTCTCTGCAAATCTTCCAATTCTTGATGGCAAGAATTTGGAAAAATGATGTATTTAAATGAGAGTGATCTTCAACGTTCAAGATGTGGCAAAGTATGTAGTAGATGGGATTCAACCGCTAGCAGAAAATGCTATCGAAGCTCAGAGATTGACATACAAGGAATCCAAGAAGAAGGATCAGAAGACACTATTTTACATTTACCAATGAGTTGAAGCGAAGGTGTTTGATAAAATATTTCACGCTGCAACATCGAAAGAAGCATGGGACATGCTAGAAAAATACTATGGTGGAGATGCGGAGGTCAAGAAGGTGCACCTCCAGTCTTTGAGAAGGTAGTATGAAATGCTGCATATGAAAGTGAGTGAATCGATAACAGATTTCTTAGCGAGGATTCAAGAATTGACCAACCAGATGAAGAATTCTAGAGAGACGTTGACAAAGCAAATAAAGGTACAAAAGGTATTTCAAAGTCTCACTCCTCAATATGATATGATAGTAATAACAATTGAGGAAACCAAATAAATGACCACAATGAAAATGGAGGATCTGCTAGGATCTTTTGAAGCTAGAAACTAAGACTGAATCAAAGAGAGACATTAGAAAGATTTTGAACAGGCCCTGATTGTTCATTTAAAGGAAAGAGGTTTTGATGACATGAATGGAAGGTGGAAGTAGAGAAAACCAAAATACCAGAAAAAATCCATACAAAATAGCAGAGAGAACAAGAAGATTGATGAAAATCCTCAATCCTCTAAAAGTGAAGGATGGTTTAACAAATCTCAAAACAAGAAAAGGTTTCAAGACAAGAGAAAGATTTAATGCTTCAACCCTGAGAAGTATGGTCACTTTGCAGCTGATTGCTAGTTTGGAAAAGGAAAGCAAGCCAATACCGATGTAGAGGAAGCTAACATGATACAAGATGATTTAGATTCAGATCCTATTATGTTGATGGTAACAACTTGTGAGGAGCTCCAATCTCTAATATGTGGCACTTAGATTCTGATTGTTCTAACCACACGATTGGACACTGTCATACCCCAAATTTTCCCTACCTCTACGATCATATTTTTCAAGATTAAAAAATAAAATAGAATATTTTAATTAAGGATGGTTCAGCAATATCTGATGACTCATTCTTAAATCCAAGACAACCAAGGAGTGCACTTTAATTTAGGAAAGTGGGACTTTCTAAATCAGAAAGACCCATGTACCCGTAAATTCATTCGCGAAGCATGTTGGCTAATGGCCCATGAGATTCGAAAATGGAAAATTATTTCAAAATTAATTATTAAGTTTTAATTATTAATAAGTCCATTAGGAATTGTTGTTGTTAGTAAAAGGGGGGGTGAAAGTTCAATATGCTAGCCCACTCCGTTTGGCCCATTTCCGTTTTGGTGGTAAGTAATGAAGAGAGGGGTATGATTATTAAGAGCCCTTTAAAATTTGGTTGGCCCATTTCATTTTTTTATTGAATGGCAAAAATTAAAGACTAGAAACAGTAGGCTCATTAAAGTTTTTAGCAGCCCATTTTGATGTCTTGCTGCTGTTTCGTTTTAAAAAAAAAGGCCTTATTAGTATAACTTTTATTAGAAGATTTATTAAAAGATATTATATTATTTAATTTATTAAGATTTTTTATAAATTGAGTATTGTGTGAAAAGAAAACTATCGTTGGGTCCATTTTAGGCCCAGTCCGTATATGTATCCAAAAGGAAAATATGGGTTGTAGTAACAAAATAGAACGCGAATTTTTGTTTTTGGTAACTGTAATACGGTAGGAGAACTGACTTGGATGTTTTGCGTTTGATCGTAATTGTTGTGCTTAGCAAGAGTCACCACCGACTTTTCTTTTATCCAAAAGGAAAGGTGGAAAAGAACAAGAAAGACCTTTGAGATTATTTCTTGAGTTCGGGGGGTAGATTATGAAAAGGGAAGGTATTAGCACCCTTTTCATCCATAGTTATTTATGGGCTCTTAGTTGCTTGCTAGATCACTTGCCTTTTTATTTGAAAAATGTGCTTGTGATGTGGATTTTGAAAGTATTTTGAAAAGAATGTCTTTGTAATGGTTCTCGTCTCTATAAGAACGCGTACAAAGTGTTTTGTCTTTTGAAAAGTGTTTCAAAGTGAAGTGTTGGTGTATAGAATGTTTTTGTTGTGAGCAAGCGAGCAATTAGGAGTAACCTACTTACTCAAAAGGTCTTAAATGTTCTTTTCTTCCTCCTTTAGATGTTGTTATCTTACCATTGTTTTGGTAAGAAAACCCCATCATTGAATGTAAAGGGACGGTCACGGGACGTTTTGTATAGTCATAGAAGGAAACCTATGGGACGTTTTAGCAATGTCGTTTAGGGACTAGATCGTTTTACCGGAGGCAACATTGAGGGTTATCGAGGGACTACGATCTTTTGTCGAGGGTCTTTGCTAAAACGCCCATATTCGGGGGACATGGCTATTTTCCGATAGGCAACAAAATGAGATTACCCTAAGGGTGAAAGTGTGAAAGTGTGTTTGATTTACATATATTTAGTCTTGATTATGGTTATCTATTTGTTGATTTTATGTCTTTCCATACACACCCTAATTACTAACAATATATGAAAGCAATAAAAGTGCGAAAAAGTAAAGTCATACGCTATTACATCATTAAGGGAATGGGGTGTACAAATTTACAAATGGGGGATTGCAAGAAATTAAATTCCTAATTATCTATTGCAACCATATTGAAAAAATGTACAAGAAATGTAAAATGGATTTGTTTTGTTTTTATTAAGAAAAGAAAATAAATTTGCTTAAGAAAATATTTTTTATCTTTTGGTTTTAAAAGAGATAAAACAAAGTATGTGAATATAAAAAGAACATTTTTGGTGTTTTGATTATTAAAGATAAAATAAAATAATAAGAGGAAAAGGGGTCAGAATCAGCGCGTGGCTGAAAGGGACAGAAATAAGGGGCGTAAACTTTGACTTTGATGCGCTGCAAAAATCAAAAATAACAAGTTCACAGAAATGGGGAAGGTCAGAAGTTATGGGTCTGGGTACACTGAGGTTCTAAGATTGCTGGGAATAAAGGAAAGCCTAGAAGTTCTGATTACTGAAGGAGTTTAGAAGCTCTAGTGCAACTAGGAACCTAGAAGTTCTAATATCACTGGCAAGTCAGAAGTTCTGGTTGTTTGAGAGAGTGAGGTGATAATGTTGTTGGGTGAGGGTATCTAGAAGTTCTGATCTATTAATATTGTCTGACAGATAAATGGGTTAAAATGTCAATAAATGAACCTAAAAAAGATGTTTCTGGGGCTAGAACCCAGGACCCTTAGTACTAATGTCTTATGCGCACGCTTTCTGCCATTGGGGTGGTTGTACATCCGATATTAGAAGCAAAAACATAAACATGTATCACCAAGTAAACTCTGGTGATGAACTTCATCCCCTTCTCCATGCTAGTCAGAGCATCTACAACTTAGTCATTTCTCAACAAAACAGAAAATGCGCACATAACAGTTATGGCAAATTTCATCATGTTTCAGAAATATAAGGTATCAACTCTATAAATTAGAAGCAAGCATGAATTTTGCTAATCCTAATTCTGCATCCTAATTTCCTCAAGAAGTTCTGAACTGAGGTTCTCTCTACTTAGGCAAAAAAATATATGAAATCTATGAATATGTACATAATCAGAATCAGGATGTCTACATTGTATTTTTGAGCGTGCAAGTCTAATAATGTCTAAAATAATGTGATGAGAGTCAGCAGAAGCTTACCTTGCAGCTGGAAAGATTCTGTGAACTAGAGCCTGGTTCTGACTTCTTGTGATGTTCTGATCAGCCTCCTCACGTGCTCAGCAAACTGGAACAATCTTTAACTTGGGATATGAATGGATGGAAAATTCTGGAATAGCCGAGAAGCAAAGTTCTGACCTTTTAAGGTGGAGATTGATGGAGAACATGTTGTAGT